AGAATGGGGCAGATGTTAACCAAAGAGATATCCGAGGTCGGGCTCCCTTGCATCACGCCACGTACTTAGGGCATACCGGGTAAGTTCTTTGCTCCGACATCCTCCATCACCCTTGGACTGAGGTTCAGCATGAACAGGGAGAGTCATGGGGTGAGGTGGGCAAGGGTGCTGGGTTTTGGTGAATTGGTTATTTGCAAAACATGCCTTTTTAGATCACATCAAGACTTGTTTGTCTTAAGGATAATTGCCCCCATGATGATAGATGAGGGGAGATTGGGCCCCTGTACACCCATTCCTTTCTCCATGCCACTGCAGCATTTCCTGATTTTTTAATATTTTTCTTTACCAATGTAAGTGAAGCTGTGCCTGCCTCTGGAAGGACAGTGCCTTCTGCCCACTCCAGTGTGGGGTGAGGGAGCTGGAATTTCTGCTCTGATGGTCTTTTCTTTCCCTTCTCCAGTCAGGTCTGCTTGTTCCTCAAGCGAGGGGCAAATCAGCATGCGGTGGATGGCGACGGGCAGGACCCACTCAGTATTGCTGTCCAGGCAGCCAATGCAGACATAGTTACCTTGTAAGTGCAGCCAGGACTTTCCAGTGCCTGTACACAGGAATACTGTCTGTAAATACTCACCAGGGAAGGAATAACCAAACCTCTCTCCCTCGTGCTTTCTCTGTTTCACTCTAGGTTGCGTCTGGCTCGAATGAATGAGGAGATGCGAGAAGCAGAGGGCCCCTTTGGACAACCAGGTCAATATCCCAGCAACAGCCCTACTGAGCTGCAGTACAGGAAGTGTATACAGGAGTTCATCAGCCTTAATATAGATGAGTGTTAGTGACAACTCCCCCGCCTCCCCTTTGCTGTCTTGAATTTGGGCTGAATTTCTAAAGCCCTGAGAGCCCCATCCTTGGTATATTGGTGTTTCTTGCAGATTGGTCTGTTTTTGATGCCTGCACCTATAGGTTGAGATGCACACAGGAAGGAAAAGGGGTCTTTCCTGTTAGCATTAAGTTCTCATGCTTGACTACTGGATGGTTGATTTTGTGTAGGAGACTCCTAGGGCATAACCACAGACCATGGTGTGTGGACATGAGTGTGTGAAAAGTATGGGAGATGAATTTAGCATTAAAAACAAAAAAAAAAAAAAAGGAGAAGAAAGGAAACCCGCTATCACCAGGAGAAACCCACCAACAATATGATCAGATGAACCTGTCTCTGCTTCAATGTAGTTACCATGCACTGAGTTCTCATCTGAACAGTTTGTTTGGAAGGGGTTCTGACGTGGAGCCCTCTCTCCTGGCGGTGTGACCAGCAGCCTCCCCTCTGATGGGACTGCTGCAGCGTCTGGGAGCTGCTGGGACCAGTTCAGAAAACTAAAAGATGACCTTTAAATCAGGAACAGTCTTTTTTGTGGGGCAGAGATATTTTGCTCCAGAAAGCAAAACAGAAGGGGTAGGATTGAGAGTGATAGCTACTCACCTTAATTGCTCTCAGGACTGTACCAGCCACGCTCCCCTTGTTTTTTTGCCCTTGGTGGTTAAGCTGGTCAAAGCCATAGCTCATCTGCTTCCTGGGCCAAGATGTAACCTGCACAGCATTACGGAAGCAGCAGTGCTAATTTTTTGAGGCTGGGAGAAGCTTGTCGCTGGCGATGGGCTTTGTATCAGGGAAGAAAAGCCACGTCTAACTCCCACTGCCTAAATGGCTGGCTGCACGATGCAATTTGACTTTGGTTCAGTTTGTTTCATGGTCACTTCAGATTTCTGACGTAGCGTCTCTGAAGGAGACTTCTACTTGTGTGTGTATCCCTCTGTGCTCTCCCCCCGCATGCTGAAGCATGTGAGTAGGGCATCTCAGCAGCTGGCCCAGGGGCTTTTGAGCTCTCCAATTCCAGTGACCGACAGAATCTTTTTGTGTCTTTCCTTTTTCTTGTATTATTCTTTGCTGGAGTGGGGGAATGTGTTTCTACTTAGAGCACTTTGTTGCTATGTTTATGGACTGTGTTCATGCTACAGTAGCTCTGCAGAGATGCTGCAGCCATGTAATCCTGTCTCAGGAGGGCTTACAGAGCACGTATACCACTGGCAGATTATCCTCTGGCTGAGAATTTGTATGCCGAGATGAGATGTGCTACTGTAAGAGCCTCTTCAGAATGCCCTCAACTGCTTTGGACATTTTTTTCAGGATTGTGGGTAGCAGTCCACAACTGATACTCAGCCTGCCTGGGCACCGAGGCTGCTGGCTCTGGGGTTGGGCCATAGTGCCTTACGGATAGTGCCGGGATCTTGAGGGGGTCAGGATCTCGCAAGAAATGCAACAATACCAGGCAGAGTTCCCCATCCTCCTGCATTACATCAGCAGTGATTCACAATCGTATTATTTTTCACCCAAATCATGTTTGACTCTTTTTTTGTATGCTGGCTGCTGTCATGCTGCAGCCCTTAGTAAATTAAACCTTTGCAGGTTTGCTTCTATTGACATAACTGTGTTCTCAGATACTGAAGCAACAGTGATCCAGCTCTTCACTCAAGATACTGCCCTCAGACACTGAACCAACATCACTCAGCGTCCACCCACACATCTAAAAGTGGAACAATAAAGTCCACTTAGACTCTAGTAGGGTGTCCTCTCAGTTCAAGGGAGAGTCCCTGTTTGCTTTAGGGAAGTGCTGTCCTATATTTTGCTGCAGCCAGACTCCAGTTCTCTCTCTGTGCAATCTGGGTATTGAAGTCCAGCTTTCTCATTCCTGTTCCCTTTGGAGCTTTGGGATGCAGAGGACCAAGTGCTGAGTTCTGAACTCAGTCCCAGTTGCCTCTTGTGTATCTGAAATGGTCCTGGTGACTGTGCTGATAGTGCTGCAGATCAGTGTCAGTGCAAAATCTGGCCCCAGCGCCTTTCATGCTTCCCTAAATAATAAACAATCTCCTCCATCCGTCTTGGAAAACAAAAATTAATTAACTTGGCTCCATCAGCCTTTTTATCGTTGGCAATGCCTTTCATGGCGTTTTCTCCACCTTCCCTCTCTTTCTGTTCTGGGAGGCCAGTGCTCTGCACGCAGCATGCTGCTGCTGAACATGGGC